ACACTTTCATAGCATCATCTTTTAGGATTTGAAACAGCTCAAATTTCCATCACCTCTACTATCCTTGTTCATAGTGATGCTTCCTAAGGCCCACTTGACTTCACATTCTAGGATGTCTGGCTCTAGGTGAGTGATCACACCATAGTGATTATCTGGGTTGTGAAAATCTTTTTTATACAGTTCTTCTGTGTATTCTTGCCACCTCTTAATATCTTCTGCTTCTGTTAGGTCCCTACCATTTGTGTCCTTTATTGAGCCCATCTTTGCATGAAATGTTCCCTTGGTATCTCTAATTTTCTTGAAGAGATCTCTAGTCTTTCCCATTCTATTGTTTTCCTCTGTTTCTTTGCATTGATCACCGAGGAAGGCTTTCTTATCTCTCCATGCTATTCTTTGGAACTCTGCATTCAAATTGGTATATCTTTCCTTTTCTCCTTTGCTTTTCAGTTCTCTTCTTTACACAGCTATTTATAAGGCCTCCTCAGACAGCCATTTTGCTTTTTTGCATTTCTTTTCTTGGGGAGATACTAACTGGGAAAGAAAATGTGAAGAATGGAAAGAAACTTCTGCAGTGTTGGAAATATTTTATGTCTTGATCTAGGGGATAACTATGTGGACGAATCCATGTAAATACAAGAGTTGTTCCCACTACTGTATATATGGATTACCTTAGCAAAATATTAAAACATCAAGGGAAAAAAAAAAAAAACATCAAGAGGCTTATTAACCTTCAGTTGGGGATGTCATGAAAGCAATTTGTGACACAAGAGCCCAGAGTTCAGGGCAGAGACTGTGGCTGTAGATAAACATTTAGAGTCAGATATAGAGGTTTTGAAGCCATAAGAGTAGATGTGTCATTTATGAAGAGAAAATTTAAAAATAGATGTAAAAAGAATGTGAATGGAACACTTCAACAGTTAGAAGCAGCTATAACAGAAGTTTCCAAGAGGTTAAACAAATTGTCGATGAATTGTCACAACCAAGGCTTAGCCCAGTCTTCCTTGTCCAGTGTCCTCCAACTCAGCAAATGTAGCTTAGCGAACTGAAACATGGGACCATCCTCAAAACCTTCTGCTTTGTCATTCCTGTCTGTAATTTGTTACCAAGTCCTGGTACTAATTTTAACTTTTACAGAACTGTCAAACCTGCAGCTTCTATCTACATTGGAAGATGAAGAAGAGAGGAATAATTAGCCTCAAAGGTTGCCAAATTTAGCAAGTAAAAATACACAATGCCCGAAACTTCAATTCAGATAAGCAGCAAATAATTTTTAATAGAATTGTATCATAAACATTGCATAGACTGCACTATTACATGGAAAATATTTACAGTAAAAAAAAATTGGTCACTCATCTGAAATTTAAATGGGCATCCTGTATTTAATCTAGCAACATATTAGCCTCTGCAGTGAGGCTATAATATGTAATACAAGGATTAGAAAAACAAGAGTTTGCATGCCAGTTTAAAGAGCTTAAGTTTTAACTTGAGGGTAATAAAAAACCTTTAAAGGGTTCTAAGCAGATGTTAGATTTGTATTAATATTTTGGGTATACAGTGTGGACAGTGGACTTTAGAGGGAGGTGATTTTTGGAAGCTATGTAACTGTTAAGTGTGGGGTACAGATAAAGTTAACATTATTCTCAATGGTGAAAAACTGAAAGTGTTCCCCCTAACATCAGGAACAAGACAAGCGTGTCCACTTTCACCACTGTTAATCAACATAGTTCTGGAAGTCCGAGCTACAGCAATCAGAGAAGAAAAAGAAATAAAAGGAATCCAGATCAGAAAAGAAGAAGTAAACCTCTCACTGTTTGCAGATGACAGGATAGTGTACATAGAAAACCCTAAAGATACTATCAGAAAATTACTAGAGCTAATCAGTGAACTCAGCAAAGTCACAGGATACAAAATCAATACACAGAAATCACTTGCATTTCTATATACTNGTCACAGGATACAAAATCAATACACAGAAATCACCTGCATTTCTATATACTAACAATGAAAAATCAGAAAGCAAAATTAAGGCATCAATCCTATTCACCACTGCAACAAAAAGAATAAAATATCTAGGAATAAACTTGCCTAAGGAGACAAAAGAACTGTACACAGAAAATTATAAGCCACTGATGAAAGAAATCAAAGATGACGTAAACAGATGTAGAGATATTCCATGTTCCTGAGTAGGAAGAATCAATATTGTGAAAATGACTGTACTACCAAACCCAAAATAAAGATTCAGTGAGATCCCTATCAAATTACCAATGGCATTTCCCACAGAACTAGAACAAAAAATTTCACAATTCATATGGAAGCACAAAAGACCCTGAATAGCCAAAGGAGTCTTGAGAAAGAATGGAGCTGGAGGAGTCAGCCTTCCTGACTTCAGATTATCCTACAACGCTACCGTCATCAAGACAGCATGGCACTGGCACAAAACAGAAATACAGACCAATGGAATAGGATAGAAAGCCCGGAAATAAACCCATGCACCTTTGGGTACCTTTATTTATTTATTTTTTTACAAAGGAGGCAAGAATATACAGTGGGGCAAAGACAATGTGGTAAAGACCTCTTCAATAAATGGTGCTGGGAAAACTGGACAGCTACATGTAAAAGAATGAAATTAGAATACTGCCTAACACCATACACAAAGATAAACTGGAAATGGACTAAAGACCTAAATGTAAGACCAGAAACTATACAACTCTTAGAGGAAAACATAGGCAGAACACTCAATGACATAAAGCAAGATCCTCTATGACCCACCTCCTAGAGTAATGGAAACAAAAGTAAACAAGTGGAACCTAATTAAACTTAAAAGCTGTTTCACAACAAATAATGGAAACAAAAACAAAAGTAAACAAGTGGAACCTGATTAAACTTAAAAGCTCTTGCACAGCAAAGGAAACTACAAGCAAGGTGAAAAGACGAGCCTCAGAATGGGAGAAAATAATAGCAAATGAAACAACTGACAAAGGATTAATTTCCAGACTATACAAGCAGCTCATACAAGTCAATGCCAGAAAAACAAACAACCCAGTCAAAAAGTGGGGAAAAGACCTAAACAGACATTTCTCCAAAGAAGACATACAGATGACTAATAAACACATGAAAAGATGCTCAATATCACTCATTATTAGAGAAATGCAAATCAAAACTACAAGGAGATATCACCTCACACTGGTCAGAATGGCCGTCATCAAAAAGTCTATACACAATAAATGCTGGAGAGGGTGTGGAGAAAAGGGAAAGCTCTTGCACTGTTGGTGGGAATGTAAATCGATAGAGCCACTATGGATGATGGCAGGGAGATTCCTTAAAAAACTAGGAACAAAACCACCATATGACCCAGCGATCCCACTCCTAGGCATATACCCTGAGGAAACCAAAACTGAAAAAAACGCAAGCAATCCCATTGTTCATTGCAGCACTATTTACAACAGCTAGAACACGGAAGCAACCTCAATGTCCATCGACAGATGAACGGATAAACAAGTTGTGGTACATATATACACAATAGAATTTTACTCAGCCATAAAAAGGAACGCATTTGAGTCAGTTCTAATGAAGTGGATGAACCTAGAGCCAATTATACAGAGTGAAGTAAGTCAGAAAGAGAAAGATAAATATCGTATTCTAACTCATATATACAGAATCTAAAAAAATGGTACTGAAGAATTTATTCACAGGGCAGCAGTGGACAGACAGACATAGAGAATAGACCTATGGACATGGGTAGAGGGGAGGAGAGGGTGAGGTGTATGGAGAGTAACATGGAAACTTACATTCCCATATGTAAAATAGATATCCAACGGGAATTTACTGTACGTCTCAGGAAACTTAAACAGGGGGGCTCTGTATCAACCTGGAGAGGTGGGATGGGTAGGGAGATGGGAGAGAGATTAAAAAAGGAGGGGATATATATATATACCCTTGGCTGATTCATGCTGAGGTTTGACAGAAAACAAAATTCTGTAAAGCAATTATCCTTCAATTAAAAAATAAATTTTTTAAAAATAAAGAAGCTTGAGTATGTTTTAAATGCTAGTAAAAAAGTTATAGTAGAAAGAGAGTGGAAATGGAAAGATAATTAAGAATTCAGGTTCCATTCAACTCTTTCTACTAATTGAAAAATAAATCTTTTATATACAGTTTAGTTATTCCTGTGAAACCTGGAGATTTTGAGATAAAGATATTTTTATGAATTCTTTCTCCTGTCAGGTTGTTCAAGTTAGGTTATTCAACATATACTGTTTTTCTTCTAAAACTATTACAAAATCAATCATTAAAATCCATTTTTTTTCAAATTTGAGTTCTCTTTTCTGTACTTTAGATGTAACAACAGGTTAAATAATTAACACTATAGTATATTTTTGTTATAGATAATGCATCTTGTGGAGCTTTACTTGCTGAGAAAAATTACCCTTCGACCCCTGGGGAAAAGAAAGAAAAAGTAAGTATTGAAGCAGAATAAGCTTATAAACCATAACTTTCATTAATATAGAAAATACTTTTTTCTTTTAGACAATATACGAATTATTTTTCAGCTATTTAAGCCAATGATTGAAAACACTTTTGGAGTTTATCAGATTACATTATTGTTACATGTCTATACACTCTATATAAATTTAATGAAAGAGGATTTAAATGTACAATTTTTCCATTTTCTTTTTGGATAATTGGTTATCTGTTAGTAATTTAAAGTGACAATAATGCATTTGCTCTGTAGTCAAAACAGTGTTCTATGCTAAGGAATTATAAATCAGTACATTAGGCCTGAAATTTAGTGGTCTTTGGGGAGAAATTCGGACTTGACTTTGTATATAAAAGTAGCTACTATTTGAGTGGCTACTCAATGTAAGCATTATTCCAAGCAGTTTTTGTTAACTATATGTTTTTATAGCATTCCTGTTCAGTAAGTTTTTCATTTATTTTTTTAGCTATTTGATAGCTGAGAAAAATGAGGTTTAAGTGTTAACCAATATGCTTGAGAAATTTATGGCAAGTCTTGCTTGATCTGAAGCCTATACTTTTTTCACTCTACCATACTGTCATACAACTGGGGAGCAGATTGAGAGAGGGCACGAATGTCAGCAAGAAGATTCATAAATACAAAGTTACAAAGATTTTTGGTGGGAGATTGTGGTAGCTTTAACTAGGATGTTTTGTAGGAGATATGGAAAAATATGCATGGATTCAAGATATTTTGCCTGTAGAGTTCATGGATTGGATATAGAGGCAGAAAGAGTGAGTGGTGTCAAGAAAGACTCAAGAAAGACTTCTAGGTTTGTGTTTTAAGCAGCTTTGATGGATAAAGGTGGTATATAATGTGATAGGAAAAGTAGAAGGTCTGAAGGCACATGAAGATGAAAATGTTGGAAGCACCACTGGCTGCAAGTTTGCAGGTCAGAAAAATAAAAGAGGAGTGTACAATATTAGAGATATTTTAGATGGTATAGTATTTGACGAAATCACTTGGGAAAGAGTATCTAGACAGTAAGGAAGAGAAATGGATCCAGGATCAATTCTTGGAAAATTCTACAGTCAGATGGAAAAGAAACAGTGGACAGAGAGGAGGGGAAAATAAACAGCATACTGTATCATAGAAGATAAGGGAGTAGGGCTTTTGCTCCTAAAAGGGAGAGGGGCCAGTTTTGCCGAGTGCTGCTTGCAGGTCATGTTATAAAGAATTTTGGAAAATTGGAGGACTTCCAGTTTCTGATCTAACATGAAAGGAATTTATAAATCATTGCTCTGTCCTAGCAAGTAGAAACCTGTACAAACTGAAAAATGAGCAGCGCTTTATAGATCTGTCAAAGAAGTAAGGTCGCATGGTAAACTGCTACACCAGATCGTGGAAAGACAGACAGGTGGATACAAAGAATATTGACCTACCAGAGCAGAAACACATGAACAGAAACCTCCCTGAGAGCCAGTGCTGGGGTGGGAAAACCAAAAATGTCATTGATGAATTTCTGAAGGCTCATTGTAGACACTCAAGAGGAACCCATTCATCAGAGGAACCTCCACACTTCTGTGAGTTTTACCTGCAGAAACTCTACCACATCCTCATAATGAATATCAGTGAAGAATACCCTCATGGTTCAGGTAGTGGGAAGGGAAAAGAAACCATTTTGAAATATCTCAGAATATTCTGTTCTTCTTAACAAAGCCTGCTCTCAGCAGGCTTTAAGATCCTAACTTGCTGGGATTTTAGCAGAGCCTAACCTACCTGGGGAAGGGAAATACCTGATTCCAGCCAGCTCTGCCCTTCCAAGTGGAGAAAGGAAATTACCCAATTCTAGCTCCCTCTAGCCTTCCATATTGGGGAATGGAAGTACCCAACTGCTACAGGATGGTCCTTTCTAGCCATCCTGTCTCAATTTTGGGGGAGGCGAACTAAGAAGAACTGGTGATGTTCGCAGTCCAGGGGCATAGGCTCAATAAAATACTGACTTAATTATAGAATTGTAGAAGGCTTCCCCTCTCCCCTCACAATTTATCAGTGAATTATTAAAGACTATTCACCACAGTTGTTATTATCCAGTACAACATGTCCACCTTTCAGCAAAAATTACAAGCCATACTAAAGGTCAGAAATTATTGTTTAAAGAGACTGAATAAGCATTGGAACCAGAGTCAGATATTACAGTAGTGTTAGAATTATCAGACCAGAAATATAAAATAACTATAATTAATATGCCAAGGCAGTTACAGGAAAAAGTAGACAATATGCAACATAAGCAGAGAGATCGAAATTCTAAGAAATAATCAGAAAAGGAATGCTTGAGATCAAAAATACTATAGCAGGAACGAAGAATGCTTTACTTATTTTTGAGAAGTTTTATCTTTAAGTTTAAACTTTGAAGTTGAGAGAATTATAGATAGAAATACATATCCCATTTTAATTATAACACACATCCATAAAACAATAAAAGTAGGACATCTGAGAAGTGATACAAATATTTTTATAGCACTGTGAAATGTGTCTTAGGATTCTGAATTTGTTTCAGCCTGAAAAAGATCCTGAACCTAGAGATACAAATTTTCAAACAACCTTAAGCTGTCATCATCTAAAAATCAAGGTTTCATCATCTCACCAGAGGTCTGTTGTAGAAAGCAGTGCAGGTGAATCAGTTGCTAAAGTTCTGCTGCCTCAGTCTCTCAAACCTGCATTGGTAAGCACTGGCCTTTTATTAGCTGATTCTTGAACAGACTGTAAAATGAAAATATACTTCTTAGAAAGATTTAGATGTACATAATTTCTTAGCAAAGCTAGGAAAAATTGCTGAGAATCTATATACTTACAGCTGTATACAGGCAGGTATGTTTTAAATGGACTGACAGTTGACAATTGGTTTGCTTGAGACCACTGGGGAAGATTATTCAGCAGAATTAAGAGTTCAAGTGGCATATTGGAGGGGGTAATACTGGAGAAAGGAAAGCAGGGAGGAAGGAAGATTGGGGTGAAATAGCCTCAGTCTTCAATGCAGAGCTGACAAAAGCTCTCCCAGTGGGGAGGTCTCAGCATAGATTGTCCATTACAGGAATCTTACATTGGGCTGCTGTGTTCAGATGTTGACTGAGGCTTGCCAAAGAAAGTAATGGCCTCAACCTAAAAGCTGAAGCAGATTCTAAAGATGTTGCAGCTGGGAGCTATCAGATAACTGTGCTCCTTCATTGGAGCAGCATGTTTCATATATAATATTTGCATGATAATTCCTGTTCAAATGCACATATTGAAAGATTACATAGCTAATAAATTAGAGAGCTAACAGACTTAGTGTACTAAGTAAAAGTACCTATAAATTTTTTGATAAAAGTTTCCTAATAAATATTCCAAATTATGTCTTGAACAACTAGTTTAAGAGATTTCTAAGCCAGAAGAGTGAAAGGAAGAAAAGATGAAAGAAAAAAAGAACCCTAACTCAACTTCCCTATGATGTTCAAATTTTATGAGTTTGGGTTCCAGGCTTCTCAGCATATACTTACACCTATTCAAAGAGGTTTATTATTTGTACTACTTGGAGTTTTTTTGGAAGTTGTTTAACCTAGCTCAAGTCAAACAGTTCTTTAGTTACCTGTCTAGTGATTTAAAATTGAATTAGTAAATTAAAATGTTATTACTGTGACACATTATGATCTAGTATAAAATTTTGTGTTTACTGTATTTATTTCTTTCTGCTGTTCAATTCTCTGTTTCACAAAATATTGATAGAACACACATTCCAGTACTTCTGATAAGAAAAGCAGAGGCCTGTTAACAAGTACTCCGTCTTCGAAAACACCTGGTTTAGTGGTAAGTGTTATTATTAGCATTTAGCTCTTGTAGTATCTATTTTCTGGCTCTCTGTTCTCCCTATTTTTCTATTTCTACTAGACTAGAAGAATATTTCTCATAGTCAGTAATGTCTGTATTTTCTGTTGCATAAATGTATTTTCACTGGAAGTACTCTATATACTATTATACATGAAAGAAATATTTTTCTTCTTTTAAAAATTTTTTACTGTGGCAAAAATACATAACATAAAATTTACCCTTGTAATCATTTTTAAATATACAGTTCAAGTACATTCACATTGTTGTAACCATCATCCATAACTCAAAAATTTTTCATCTTGCAAAGCTGAAATTTCATACCCATTGAATAGTAAATTCCCCATTCCTTCCTCCTCCAGTCCCTTGTAACCACCATTCTACTTTTTGTCTCTTTGAATTTGACTGTTCTAGGCATTTCATATAAATGAACCATATGGTATTTGTCTTTTTTTGACTGACTTATTTCACTCAGCATAATGCCTTCACAGTTCATCCATGCTGAAGAATATGTCAGAATTTACATCCTTATTTAAGACTGAATAATATTTCATCGTATGAATGTACCACATTTTGTTTATCCATTCTTCTGTTGTTGGACATTTGGTTGCTTCCAGCTTTTGGCTATTGTAAATAATGTTGCTATGGACATGGGTATACAAATATCTCTTTGTGACCCTGTTTTGAATTCATTCGGTATATTACTTGAAGTGGAATTGCTGGTCCTTTGGTAACTCTCATTGTAGTTTTTTGAGGAACCACCATACTATTTTCCATGTCAGCTGCACTATTTTACATTCCCACCAACAATTTACAAGGGTTCCAATTTCTCTATATCCTTGTCAACACTTATTACTTTCTGTGTATGTGTTTTTTTTTTTAATAGCAGGTGTGAGATGGTATCTCCTTGTAGTTTCGATTTGTATTTCTCTTGAACTGTGGTGTTGAAGAAGACTCTTGAGAGTCCCTTGGACTGCAAGGAGATCCAACCAGTCCATCCTAAAGGAGATCTGTCCTGGGTGATCATTGGAAGGACTGATGCTGAAGCTGAAACTCTAATACTTTGGCCACCTCATGCGAAGAGCTGACTCATTGTAAAAGACCCTGATGCTGGGAGGGATTGGGGGCAGGAGGAGAAGGGGACGACAGAGGATGAGATGGCTGGATGGCATCACCAACTTGATGGGCATGAGTCTGAGTAAACTCCGGGAGTTGGTGATGGACAGGGAGGCCTGGCGTGCTGCGATTCATGGGGTCGCAAAGAGTCGGACATGACTGAGCGACAACTGACTGACTGAATGGCTAATGATGCTGAGCATCTTTTCATGTGCTTACTGGTCATTTTATATCTTCTTTTGAGAAATCTCAGTTCAAGTCCTTTGTTCATTTTAAAAATCAGGTTGTTAATTTTTTTGTTGTTGAGTTGTGAGAGTTCTTTATATATTCTAGATATGAACCCCTTATCAGGTATATGGTTGACAAATCTTTTCTCCCATTCTGTGGGTTAGCTTTTCATTCTGTTGATAGGACCCTTTGATGCACAAAACTTTTACTTTTTTTAAAATTTAATTTTTAAATTAATGTATTTAATTTAATTGGAGGCTAATTACTTTACAATATTGTGGTGGTTTTTGCCATACATTGACATGTAGTCCAGTTTATCTTTTGTTCTTGTTTTTGTTGTCTTCTGCTTTTGTGACATATCGAAGAAGTCATTAGTAAATGCAATGTCATGAAGTTTTTTCCCTGTATTTTCTTCTAAGAGTCTATAATTTGCCTCTTACCCAACCAGAGTTCTTCTGAGGTTCAACAGAACCAGCCCAGGTTGGATGCATGAGACAAGTGCTCAGGCCTGGTGCACTGGGAAGACCCAGAGGGATGGGGTGGAGAGGGAGGTGGGAGGGGGGACCGGGATGGGGAATACATGTAAATCCATGGCTGATTCATTTCAATGTATGACAAAAACCACTGCAATGTTGTAAAGTAATTAGCCTCCAACTAATAAAAATAAATGGAAAAAAAATAAATAAAAGTTAGGCTCTTCGTCTTTTTATTGTTGAGTTGTGTTATTTATATGTTCCAGATACTAGACCCTTACCAGATAAAAAATTTTCAAATGTTTTCTCCCATTTTGTAGGTAAATATTTAGTGTCTTTAATAAATAAAAATACTTTTGAGAGCACTTAATGGCTTGACATTTTAAGGTCTACATTTTTTTTCTTTTTTTTATTAAATGAGTCTATTTGCCCTTTGGTTCATTCCATAGCTTGCTGCCACCAAATGAGTCATTTAAATTCCCCTCAATTCCAAGCTGTCATTCCTTGGCTGGCTTCCCTGAAAGGAGGCCAGTTGACTCAAGGGCCTCTAGGGATTTTCGTTTTCTAGGGTCTCACTTTCAGGTGACCTTCTTAACACTGTTTCAAGATACACATTGATAGGTCTGAAGCTTTTCTGTCTCCCTACGAGGAAGAGGAGCTGGGCAAGGGCAGATGCCTCCAATCCCCAGTGCAGTTGATAATTCGTTCTGGGCACACATACATGTGGTATAGCCTAGGTTTAGGCCGGGTTACTCTAGTCAGATCTGGAGCGTCAACATGACAGAGCTGCTTGAAATCCAAAACTAAGGAGAATGGATCATGACTTTGGCTTTAAATATTTTGATTTTGATGTAGAAATATGTGGTAACTTGAGCAACCTGATAATGATAGGGGTATGGTGCTCTGGAACAAGGTAGAGACTTAAAAATCTCTAGTGTACAGTTGGTAGGCAAAAAGAAGCAAAGGCAGAACACTGGGGAAGTCTAACAGTTAAGGGAAGATCAGGGAAATCAGTTCATGAGGTGTAGTTGCTAGGTAGGTGAATTTCATTTAGTGGGCAATTCAGTTCAGTTCAGTTCAGTTGCTCAGTCGTGTTGGACTCTTTGTGACCCCGTGAACTGCAGCACGCCAGGCCTCTCTGCCATCACCAATTCCCAGAGTTTACCCAAACTCATGTCCGTTGAGTCGGTGATGCCATCCAACCATCTCATCCGCCGTCATCCCCTTCTCCTCCTGCCTTCAATATTTCCCAACATTAGGGTCTTTTCAAGTGAGTCAGCTCTTCGCAAGAGGTAGCCAAAATACTGGAGTTTCAGCTTTAACATCAGTCAGTCCTTCGAATGAACACCCAGGACCGGTTTCCCTTAGGATGGCCTGGTTGGATCTCCTTGTAGTCCAAGGGACTCTCAAGAGTCTTCTCCAACACCACAGTTCAAAAGCATCAATTCTTCAGCACTCAGCCTTCTTTAGAGTCCAACTCTCACATCAATACATGACTACTGGAAAAACCATAGCCTTGACTAGACAGACCTTTGTTCACAAAGTAATGTCTCTGCTTTTTAATATGCTGTCCAAGTTGGTCTTAACTTTCCTTCCAAGGAGTAAGCATCTTTTAATTTCATGGCTGCAATCACCATCTGCAGTGATTTTGGAGCCCCCCAAAATAAAGTCTGTTACTGTTTCCACTGTTTCCCCATCTATTTGCTATGAAGTGATGGGGCCACTTAATATGTATAAATTAGATGATACTTTAGCAAATGAAAATTCTTATTTAAAAATAATTTTAAAGCTAAAGAGCCTTGTATTATTCTTTATAGATTCATTTGTTCCCAGTTAAACATGCATCTTTTGAAGAGGCATTTCTAAATATCAGCAATTATATTAATTCAGATGAAATTATTCATATGTCAAGCTCACAAGAAAATCATTCAATTGAGAGAGTAGTTCAACTTTTCTTTGGTTACTTAAAAATGATTGTTTTGCAGTATTGTACTTCTACAAGAGTAATGTATTCTTTTATAGATTGATTTGTCCTCAGTGCAAAAAACATCTTTTGAAGAACTATTTCCAAATGTCAGCAATTATGTTAACTCAAATGAAATTGTTCCTGTGTCAACTTTGCAAGACAGTTCTTCAAATGAGGTATAGTTTCAAATTTTCCTTCACTTACTAAAAGAAATAATTACTTTTATATTGGATACTTTGTATATGAGACACTTCAAGAGATCCGTAACTCAGTTGAGACTAACATCATCTACATGTGGAGTCAGCTATCAGATATAATTCCAAATAAAGAATATTAGGCTGTAATTTTGCATCATCAAGACCTAGGAATATAAAAAAACCCAGAGGAAATAGTATTATCCTACTTGGATCCAAAACTCAGTATGTCTGTACATAGAAATTGTCGACATCAACTTAGTTGTGTTAGCAAGAATATATGGAAGTACTAATAAAACTCATAACTCTTAAGAGCCATGGCAGGGGGGATAGGGGGGTGGGAGGATGGGAGTAAAGAAAGAGGGTGACTGGAAAAAGAGAGGAGAACAGAAGAGAGAGAGAGAGAAAGAGACAGAGAAAAGGGAGAGAGGGCAGACAAGAGAGACAGAAAGAATAAGACAAGAAAAGGGCAGAGAGATAAAGAAATAAAAATGCAGAACTTAGGAATGGGTAGTAGTTTATTAGTCTAGTAGTATCTAGACCTTGGTGTGACCCTAAGGTGAAGATGGGGATGCAGATGGTCAGGAAAAAGCTAGAGATGAGATTGTAGAGATAAGTAGAGGCCAACATCAAAGAAGGTCTTATAATCCTTGTTAAGGAATTTGGATTTTTTTCTGGAGGGGGTGCTGGTAAGGGCTTGTAAACAGGAGATATGAATGTTCTAGTATAAAGTTTATTTTGACTCCCAGGGTGGAGAAAGGCCGAGACTAGAGGAAACTTGAGGGATAACCTTCAGAGAGAAGATAATCTTCAGAAAGAAAGGAAGAGGAAGAAAGAATATAGGATAAGAGGCTTAAGGATATTAAAAAGGGTTTAAAATAGGAGTTTAGGGGAATGGAAGAACTGCTGCTAAGTCACTTCAGTTGTGTCCAACCCTGTGCGACCCCTTGGATGGCAGCCCACCAGGCTCCCCCGTCCCTGGGATTCTCCAGGCAAGAACACTGGAGTGGGTTGCCATTTCCTTCTCCAATGTGTGAAAGTGAAAAGTGAAAGTGAAGTCGCTCATTCGTGTCCGACTCTTAGAGACCCCATTGACTGCAGCCTACCAGGCTCCTCTGTCCATGGGATTTTCCAGGCAAGAGTACTGGAGTGGGGTGCCATGGAAGAACGAGGGAAACCCAAAATTATAGCCCATTGCTGAGAGCCTTGTTGAGACTGGGAACTGTTACTTAAAAAAAAAATTCTTTGTTGAGCCATGATATAATTGACATACAATGAGCTACACATATTTAAAGTGTGCAATTTAAACTTATTACGTATATGAGCACCCTTAAAACCATCAGCACAATCAAGACAGTGAAAATATTCATCACCAAAAGTTGACATTGATATGGTGGTGGTTCAGTCACTAAGTCATGTCTGACTCTTGTGACCCATGGACTGTAGCTCACCAGATTCCTCTGTTCATGGGATTTCCCAGGCAAGAATACTGGAGTGGGTTGCAATTTCCTTCTGCAGGTGATCTTCCCAACCCAGGGATCGAATCTGGGTCCCCTGTATTGTAGGTGGTCTCCTGTATTGCAGGTGGTTTCTTTACCAACTGAGCCACCAGGAAAACCTGGTATTGATATACACAATTGTATTTACAAAGCAGAAATAGAGACACAGACATAGAGAACAAGCCTGTGGATACCAAGGGGAAGAGGGGAATGGGGTGAATTGGGAATTTAGGATTGACATAGATAATACTAGTGATACTATGTATAAAATACATAACTAATGAGAACCTTCTGTATAGCCCAGGGAACTCTACTCAATGCTGTATGGTGATCTAAATGGGAAGAAAATCCAAAAAAGGGAATCTATCTATCTATATATATAGCTGATTCACTTTGCTGTACAGTAGACACTAACACAATATTATAAGACGACTATAATAAAAGTAAAAATAAAAGTTTTCCTGTATATAAGCATCTTTGAGACCACCACCACAATCAAGATAGTGAAAATATTCATCACCAGAAGTTTCCTCCTATAATATTACAATCTCTTTCTTCATGCCCCCCAAGCAACTACTTATCTAGTTACTGTCATAACAGATTGGATTTTGGAGTCCTTCAAGAAAGAGAGAGACTTTGTTTTTTTAGTCTGACTTCTTTCACGCAGCATAGCTGTTTTAAGATTCAGCCATATTGTTGAGTGTATCAATCAGTTTCAGTTCAGTCACTCAGTTGTGTCTGACTCTTTGTGACCCCATGGACTGCAGCATGCCAGGCCTCCCTCCCTGTCTATCACCAACTCCTGGTGTTTACTCAAACTCATGTTCGTTGAGTCAGTGATGCCGTTCAACCATCTCATCCCCTGTCGTCCCCTTCTCCTCCCACCTTCGATCTTTCCCAGCATCGGGATCTTTTCCAATGAATCAGGTGGCCAAAGTATTGGAGTTTCAGCTTCAGCATCAGTCCTTCCAATGGATATTCAGCATTAATTTCTTTTTGGATGGACTGGTTGGATCTCCTTGCAGTCCAAGGGACTCTCAAGAGTCTTCTCCAACACCACAGTTCAAAAGCATCAATTCTTTGGCGCTCATTTCTCATGATGTACTCTGCATATGAGTTAAATAAGTAAGATGACAATATACAGCCTTGATGTACTCCTTTCCCATTTTTGAACCAGTCTGTTGTTCCATGTCCAGTTCTAACAGTTGCTTCTTGACCTGCATACAGATTTCTCAGGAAGCAGGGTAGGTGGTCTGGTATTCCCATCGCTTGAAGAATTTTCCACAGTTTGTTGTGTTTGAGTGTATCAATAGTTTGTTCCTTTTTATTACTAAGTAATATTTCATTGCATGGTATACCATAATTTATTTACCCATTCATCTCTTTATAGACATTTAGATTATTTAGCTGCTGGGAACATTTCAGTGAAGTATTTGTGTTAACAAAGAATCTCTCCATAATCAAACTTTAGAGAGGCTATCCTGAGCTCTCTTCTCAACTAGGCCTTGACCTTGGGCTTCCATGTCCATCCTTGAATATGATTTTAGCAAGAATTCTGCTCACCAGTTTACAGAAAGTCCTCTACCCCTTATATCTGATCATTCTGGCTGCCTTTAGCATGCTGGCATATTAAGTCTAGTTCAGTTCCTGGACCCAGTTTCAATGAGTGTGTGATGGGGAGGGTTTTCCCACACTTAACAACAAGCAACCTCCAGGCACCAGCTGGGTATCCTAGAAAGTGAAAGTGAAAGTCACTCAGTTGTGTCCTACTCTTTGTGGCCCCTTGGGCTATACAGTCCATGGAGTTCTCCAGGCCAGAATACTGGGGTGGGTAGCCTTTCCCTTCTCCAGGGTATCTTCCCAACCCAGGGATTGAACCCAAGTCTCCTGCATTGCAGGTGGATGAAATTCAACCCAATTCTGACACTGTCTACCCAGAGACAGCAATAGATTCCACAGGTAAAGGGCTCTGTCCTACAGGAACACCGTATACTTCAGACACCAATTGCAAGCCCAGGTTATCACCTGTGTTCCTGACAGGCTGGCTACAAATTGGAGGTTCCCATGACCTATTTCCTGAGACTTCAGACTCCAGTCACAAGTCCTTTACTTCTAACTTACTGGCTGTAAGTCATAAGTTCTCACAACTCTCTCCTTGGGTTTGATTAATTTTCTTTAGTGGCTCATAAAACTCAGAAAAACATTTTACTCACTAAATTACTGGCTTATTATAAAAGGATATGATTCAGGAACAGCCAGATAGATGAGGTGCATAGAGCAAAGTATGGTTGAAGGGTGTGGAGCTTCCATGCTATCTCTTGGAGTGCCATTCTCCCCAATCTCACCAACCAAGGTGTTCTTTGAACCCTGTCCTTTTGGAATTTTATGGAAACTTCATTGCATAGGCATGACTGATTAAATCAATGGTCATTGGTGATTCATTCAACCTCAAGCTACTCTCTCCTCCCTTATGAGAAGATGCTATGGTGTGGGCCTGAAAGTCCCAATCCTCTAATTACCTAGTTGGTTTCCCTCACAACCAGCCCCTATCCTAACTATAGTTCGAAAGTCACTTTATTAATGTAACAAAAGACATCTCATTTCTCTTATTACCTAGGGAATTTCAGCTCTATGCCAGAAATGGGGGCAAAGACCAAATATATATTTCCTATCATAAATCATAGAATCTTAGATCAGTTTAGCAAGAATCTCCTTACCCTTGTCTCTCCTCTTAGCAGCTTTCCCATCCTCTGATGCTTTCACTGTCCATTGGCTTTAAATCCCCAGCTATCTTTGCTGTATTTGGAGTTGGACACAACCTCTCTCTGCTATTGCAACACCACTATTGCAGGTTTTGAATAAAATCTTCCTTATTGTTTTAGCAAGTGTTATAATACACATTCTTTTACAATATGGGTATATATTTTCTTTCCTCTTGGGTAAATACCTAAAAATGGAAATTGCCAAGCTGTTTTCCAAGTAGTTATACCATCTTACATTTCTACTAGCAGTGTTTGAAATTTGTTTCTTTACACGTGACACTTAGTATGGCCAGTCTTTTAATTTGAACCGTTCTAATAGATATGAAGTGATATCGTAATGTGATTTTAATTTGTATTTCCCTAAGGACTAATGATGTTAATCACTTTTTCATGTACCTATTTTGGGGAAGGAAATGGCAACCCACTCCAGTATCCTTGCCTGGAGAATCCCAGGGACAGAGGAACCTGGTGGGCTGCTGTCTATGGGGTCACACAGAGTCGGACACGACTGAAGTGACTTAGCAGCAGCAGCAGCATGTACTTATTTGACATCTGCATATCCTTTTTGGTGATATATATCTGTTCCAATATTTTGTCTATTTAAAAAATCAGTTGATTTTCTTATTGTAGAATTTTGAGAGTTCTTTGCATATTCTGGATGCAAATCCTTTATCAGATACATGCTTTGAAGAATAATCATCCAGTGGATGCTTTGTCTTTC